GAGACAGAACGCAAGTGGGGGAGGGGCAAAGAGAGGGAGAGACATGGAATCCAAAGCAGGCTCCAGGCTCTGAGCTGTCAGCACAGAGACCAGTGTGGGGCTCAAACTCACAGAGAGTGAGATCATGACCTGAGCTGAAGCTGGACACTTAACCAACTGAGCCACCCAGGCGCCCCACGAGAGCATGAAACTCTTGATCTCGGGCTTTTGAGTTCAAGCCTCGCTTGGGGCACAGGCTTACTTAAAAAAATAATAAATAATAAAATTAAAAACACTTAAAAATATATAGTATATATATACAGATCTATGTAGATATATACATAGGTATATATATCTACGTAGATATACATAGACATACATATCTATCTACATAGAGTATAAAATGTTATCACTTCAACATATAACTGCACAAAAATTAAAGAGACACTTTACATTCTTCCTTTGGTACTTCTCTAAATCCGTTGTGTACTTTACACTTATAGCACAGACCTGAGGTATTTCCCTCCTCATGTACCAAGGGCTTAAATTCCACTGATGAAAAAATTCAATAAAGCAAAGAGATGAGAATTTCAGAATGAGATATTTGCCCCAATCAGACCAATACGTTTCCACAAATAAATTCAATTTTCCAACAGCATTAGAGGGGAATTAAGTAAGTTTCCTGGGTGCTTGGGAATTTTTTTTTTTCTAAACAATGTCTTCTATCCTCTTAGGAACCTCCCAAACACGTTCATCTACCATGCCTTTGCAGTTGCCCCTCTCCTTGCCACCCCCAAGACCAACCTGCCACAGGACAGATGCTGCTTGGGCAGTGGTACATGTATACCAAACACTGGCTGGAATGAAAGGGGTAGCTGAGGCATTATAACCGTGGCGTGTGTCACCCTCAATAAGAAATCAAAGGCCATTAGAATTCTCTTACAATATTCACATTAGGGCCGAGTTAAAATCTGCCTCAGAACTAAAAGTGTCAAGATCTGCCTTATGTTTCTCAGGATGTGATCTGCATAGAAATCTGTATAATATGTCAATTTATGTAGAGTCTACTGCACACAAACGTGTTGAAACTCTAGATTTACATTAATTCAATATGGTGGCCACTAGCCACATGTGGCTACTGAGCACTCAAAATGTGGCTACTTCAGGGGTGCCTGGGTGGCTCAGTTGGTTAAGCGTCCGACTTCAGCTCAGGTCACGATCTCGCGGTCCGCGAGTTCGAGCCCCGTGTCGGGCTCTGGGCTAATGGCTCAGAGCCTGGAGCCTGCTTCCGATTCTGTGTCTCCCTCTCTCTCTGCCCCTCCCCCGTTCATGCTGTGTCTCTCTCTGTCTCAAAAATAAATAAACGTTAAAAAAAAAAAAATTTAAAAAAAATGTGGC